CACCATTATGTAAGCCTATCTCCATGTGTTACAAGTTACTACTAGACTACCTCCAATTCTCTAAATCTACACCTGTGCAGCACTGGAACGCAGACTTGGGAACTAAAATATCTCAACAGTGATGGGGTAATTTGTTCACCACGACTAAAACTCTAATCAAGTCTGCTACCCTACTGAAACAGCAGCAAAAAATAATCTATAGATGGTATATGGTGCTGACCCACATCCACAAGATCTACCCAGATAGCTCACCAAAGTGCTGGAGATGTAATGTACAAGATGGGACAGTGCTCCACATTTTGGCAAGGGGTCGAAACCCTACTGTCATCCCTGACAACAAGCACGTTGCCCCTTCATCCAACTACTTACCTAACCATGCTCCTCCAGGATGACCTCCCTAAATTTAAGCAGAAGCTTATATACCATATCCTATTATCAGCCCAAAGATTGATAGCTAGAGCGTGGGAGTCCTCGCTGTGCCCTTCCGTGTCCACTCTAATAACGGACAAAAAGCGCACATACGAGCATTGCTTCCACAGGCTATCACCTCCGTCTAGAATCACCCAGACAGCATGGGAGGCTTGGGACACGTGGAGATTGGCACTCTCTGCAAGTCAGAGTGACCCTACTGTAACTATGCCCACGGGAAGATAGAAAAGGGTGGGGCTGCCAAATGGTCTGAAATGGTCTGAGATGAAGACCATGCATTGATTTGCTGTGTACACTAGATGGCCATTTACATGCTGTAAGAAATGTTGAACATGTATCTGCTGAACTCCCCCCACACTTTCCTTCTGACACCCCCCTCCCCCCACATTGCTGTCTCTTTGATGAAACTAAAAATGTTAAAAAAAAAAAAAAAAGGGAAATCATATACAATAAATAGAACTTTAAAAACCCTTTATCTACTTAAAGGACCACTATAGGTACCCAGACCACTTCAGCTCAATGAAGTGGTCTGGGTGCCAGGGCCCCCTAGTTTTAACCCTGCAGCTGAAAACATAGTACTTTCAGAGAAACTTCTATGTTTACACTGCAGAGTTAATCCAGCCTCTAGTGGCTGTCTCCCTGACAGCCACTAGAGGCCGAATCTGCGATTTACACAAAGTAATTTGCACTTATTTGACTCTGGACATCCTCAAGGAGTCCAACGTCAAAAAAGATCTCCGTAGGAAAACATTGAGTAATGCTTTCCTATGGGCGGGTTTGAATACGCGCACGCCTCTGGGCTCATATGCGCATTTGGCTCCACTCGCAAGCTGGCGTTGGTGGAGGAGAAGAGGCCACCAGTGCCGAGGGAGCCCAGCACTGGATTAAGGTAAGCAAATATACGGTTAATTAACCATTTATTTGCTGCGGAACGGGGCCCTATTCACTTAAACCATGACTAGGGCTCTATTGCATTAGGAATACATATTTGTTTTCCTAACGCTATAGTGTTCCTTTAATATAATTACTAAGGAAAGGGGAAGAAAAAACGGGTTATGCTATAATATGGGCTTATAACGTATACAGACAATTTCATGTACTATCAATAGGGGCCAATATTCCTTTATGTACTTCTACATATTAAAGGGAATACATCGAACCTTTAAAATCATATAAAATAATTAAGAAAGTAAAAAAAAATATCATTATTATAGGGGATAGATTAAATATTAAACTCACATAAAATAATGATACAAATAGTTATAGAAAATGGTGTCAAATACTAAAAACTAATACATGAAAATTAAGTAGAGAAATATGTGGTACCAAAAACACTAATAAAGGAATGAAATGTACTGATCTTAAATTATGGCACAGACTGGGATAAAAAAAAGATATATATATTTTTTGAATTTAAATAAAATAGAATATCTAGGTCGTTATTAAGACATTGTGGAGTTGATGTTTTTAAATAAAAAAAAAAAATCCACTCAGTTTCTTTCTATTTATTTGACAATCTTTATTTTTGAGAATTCAGTACAATTGTACATTATAAAGAGAGATAAGTAAGAATACAAGATCAATCAGAGATTAATGATGACAGCCACTGATGAGAAATGTTTCACATGACAAGTAGATATACAGTACAAACAACACAAATAGTACAAAAGTAAAAAATATTTATCAATCAAGTAACAGCCTCCCACAGATCACTTCCCACATGGTGATCTCAATAAGCCATAGAGATAAAATGGGTTTATACACGATTCCACTCAGTTTCTCAGTTTCGTTCTTTTCTAATAGATTTATAGTATCCCCTCCTCTTCAGTTGGTTGTTACGCTGTCTATACCAAAGCAGATAAAATTCTTAAAATCAAAACATTTACAGCTGTTGCATCGCTTTGGTATACTGTGTTTGTCATTTTTCCATTTAATCTCATTAAAATGTTCTAAAATATGCTTGTGAAGTTACATTTGAGTAAATATACAACATTTTTGCTTTGGCAGTTTCTAAATGTTTAATTTTAAAAATTACCCCTGTGGCAAAACTTTTAAAACTTGTAGTTCTTCTAATTTGAAAATTGCAGGTACTATAGTTACCTCGTTTAAAAAAACATTTGGTTGATCCATTGAAAGCCTCTCTTCACTTGGAGCTAGTACCCTTTTTAAATTCTCAATTTTTTTAAATATATGTAACTTGCTTTATAATTGGCTAGTGTCTCTTAATTGCCCTTTCCTCTTACTCGCCATGTTGTTATATTTAGTTAATATCTAATGTTGGCTTAAAATAAAAAATGTAGGATCTAAAAAATGTATCTGGGTTTCCCCCATATCCTCACTATACTGAAAGCCCAGTAGCGGAACTACTGCCAGTGCGGCTGCATCAAGGCCGGTATGCTTTGGAGGCCCATTGGGCGGTTTTATTTATCTATTCCTGAACAGGAGCCCATTCAGGCTTCACAGACCTTTAAAAGCACGATTAGGCCCCTGCAGAATCTGCCAGCTGGAAGGAAGTGACAGCCGATCACTTCCTCCTAGCTTAAATAGAGAGTGCTGTGTGACAGGGAGGGATAAGGAGATTTTTATAAATAAAAAAGGGTTACAGTGCAAATACTGCTGTTGCATATACTGTGCATAAATAAAAAAATTTTACAGTGCAAATACTGCTGTTGCATATAATGTGCATACAATTTTAACATTTTCAACAATTGAACATTTGCAAAAAACACCACTGTACCATAAAATCAAATATACATTAAAAATGTGCACAATATCTAAATCCAACATACTTAAAACACACACACATACATACACACTCACATTAAAATTTTTCAGTTCTCACAAACATGTGCAAATGATCTAAAACTGCTGTTTGTGAGCCTTGTTTTCTGCAAAGGCAATCACAATGTCCTCCAAAGAGTGACACACACACTAACATACAAACACACACTCACTAACAAACACACACAGACACACACACACACACTAACAGACACACACTCACTAACATACACACTAACACACACACTAACAAACACACACTCACTAAAAGACACACACACACTAACAGACAGACACGACACACACACACTCACTAACAGACACACACACTCACTAACAGACACACACACACTCACTAACAGACACACACTCATTAACGCTAATCTCACTTTTTTGACCCCACCCACCAGCCTGCACCTTTGGGAATTCTGTTGGGGGTTCTCCCTTTCCGTGGGGTCCAGTGGGCTGCTGGGTGGGCCGCGCTGGTGAGGGAGCACTGATTAGTGAGCTCTCTGCTCAGCTCCCTTGTGCGCCGCAGAGTGATGCCGGGAGCTGGAATATGACATCATATTCCGGCTCCCGGCATGACTATGTGGCGCGCGAGGGAGCTGAGCAGAGAGCTCAGGGGAAAGTGCTCCCTCGCCATCGCCGCCAGCCCGACCAACCGCCCGCCTGGCTTGTCAGTTAACCGCAAGGCTAACAAGACATTTGCCCTGGGCATTTGAGGGCGGCTTTTTTTGCCGCCCCCTGGAAAATGCCGTCCAAGGCAAATGCCTTGTTTGCCTCATGGCTAATACGTCCCTGCTTGGGGCCCCAGGCCAGCTCGGGGCCCCAAGCAATTGCTTGGTTTGCTTGTCTTGTCGCGACGGGCCTGCTCCTGAACACAGAAGGTAAGATAACAGGAGGGTGGCTGCAAATATAAAAATTATAACATCTATGTGTTTTTATGTATATCAGTGTTTGTATGTGTGTGTGCATCTGTGTATCAAGGTGTTTATATGTCAGTGTGTGCATGTGTCAGTATGTGTCTGTGTGTACATCTGTGTGTTATGGTGTGCACCTATGTGTGTGTTTATGTCAGTGTGTGTTTACGTCAGCAGGGCCCATTTTATTTTTAAAACCTGTTTTATTGCACTGATTCCTTTTTGGTGATCTATTGCTGTATATTGGTATGTAACGTCTATGATTGCCATATATATCCCACTTTCCATTTTAGTCCCTCCACTTCCCTGATATAGGTAGGAGGTAGGAGCTTGTACTATAAATTTGTGCAAATATAAATCCACATGTCCCGATATATCACTCGTCAGGGACCCAATTCTTCTTATAATTGGTCTTCTTGGTGGATTTTGCAAAGTTTTATGGATTTTGGGTAGGTAGTAAAAGACAGCATTTCTTGGATACTTCACAAGGAGGCAATCAAACTTGGCTTTATTACTAAAAGCCTATGTTCCTCACCTTTCCTTCTGAATTGTATTAAGTAGGATATAATTAGATAAAGGTTTTTTTATGTTCTATGTATTGTATATGATTTTTCTTTTTTAAGAATATTTGTAAAATTATAAGTGTAATGTATTCATGCGTTTATTTTTACATTCAGATTTTTATATATTTTTATCTTGATG